CTGGCTTTGTGCCTAAGGCAAGACTAGAACTCATGGTCTCCCAGTTTCTAGCCTGGTGCTTTAACCACTACACCAAACTGGCTCTCTGTTTATTTTTAGCTAAGATTTATTTCATTTTAACTAAAATTTCTTTAGTTAAAATTATTTTTTAATTACCGTCTATCATTTCTTTTAGCCCTCTTAATTTCAGCTGTAGGACTACTTTTATATTTGCTTTGTGCTGGTTAATGACCAAAATAAAGACTGATTTAGTTATGGTCTGAAAGAGCTAAGCAACCCAGAAGGAGCAAAGGGAACCTTCTTCCATGTTGTTTATTTATTGGTTGCCTCAGTCCATATGGTCTTTGGGTGGTGAACAATAGTTCCAAATCTAATTATTCAAAACCGTCAGTAATAACATTGATAATTGCCAGGTTCCCTTTTAATCAGTGAATGCATTAATGGAAATCATCCTTAATGCTTTTGATCCTCTTTCTAACTCTCTTTGTTAGCTGTTTATAGGATACAAACAGAATGTCCATCTATTCTTGTTATGCAAAGTTTTACAAACACCCATTCTCATTCCCAGGCTCAAGGAATTCCATTTCAATAATGATAAAGTTTAATGATGACCACCCGAACACAACAAAAGGTTGAAAGTCTGCTGTAATTGAATAGCTTTCAATTCCTTCTGAAAGCCAAGGAGGGTTGGAGGGATCCATGCTTCTAGGGGCAAATATGTGTTTCATAAAGTGAGGGCTGCCACTAAGAAGGCCTGTCACCTGATCCATACCCCATATACCTCACAACAATGGAGGGCCTTAACAGCCTCTCTCTAGATAGCCATACTAGATAAACAGGTTCTGTGTCTGGCAAGTTGTTGCCTGATATAATCCAGTGCTACTCCATAAAGGGTTTTAAAGGTTATGACAAGCACTTTGAGTAGGGTCTGGAAGCCTATTGGTAATCAATTCAGTGGCTTAAAAATCATGTCATTCTACACTTGATAAGGTTACCCTGTTAGCAATCTTGCCACGTTTTACACCAGCTGCAGCTTTTGAGTCACTTCCAAAGGCAACTTCACATACAGCATGTTACAGTACCCTAAAGAGGTGGTGATCATGAGTTACTGTCACCAGGTCATCTTGATCCAAGTGATTCCTAACTGGTGCTCCAGCTGAAGCTGGGCAAAGGACTCCCTGGCCATGGCTTACACCTGCTGTTTCAGCAGGAGCCAAGGGTCCAGAAGGGCCCCAGTTCATGAACTAAGTCTTTCAAGGGAGTACAACTCCATCCAGAATAACTATCAGGACTAATGTTACTGGATTGCCCAGACATTTGATGATGAACAGCAACTCCATTTTGGAACAAGCTCAGTTGGCGCTTATTCTGCTCCATCCAGATCCTTTAAAGTTTACTTGGCAAGGGAACTACATGTCCATGAAGTCACCACAAGATGAGCTTGATTTGGAGACTTTATTTTATCACTGGTGTAAATTATATCTAATGGTCTTTAGGAACATCTAACATATTCTTTCAAAAAAGTAAATATAAATGCATTTTGGAGGTGATGTATTGTTGTTTGCATGGAACAATAGAACAATCTATTCTCTGATCACATTTTAAACTTTAATAAAAATCCTTACCACTTTGAAGCTGATGCTGGTAATTTCCTGCAAGGAATGCCTTAGAATTTCTTGCCATTCTTTTTCACCCAAGGAGTCCTCCTGTGTTCCAATCACATAGATGTCATGTGGAATATAGTCAGCTGTCTCATCACGGGTCTTACCCTGTCCCTTGGAGAGAAACCAGGAACTGATCTTCTTTGGTGGAGGAGCATCACCTTGATTAGCAAATCCCAAACCAAAATGAGCATAAGAAACTACTATATTAAAGAATCAGCTAAATTGGTACTAAGGCTGGACAATCTTCTTTAAAGCTAGTGCTGGTTCAATTTTTATTCAGATTTTTTTTGCCTCTGAAGGCCACAGAAAGTATGCTAGTGTCTAGGAAGGGGGATAAATGAAAAATCTATGAAATTGGGGCTTTCAATTTACTATGTTTAATAAAGTAAGTTGCAGTAAACCTATCTAAACTTCTAAGCCAATTTGGAGGCTTTAAAAAAATAACTAAAAATACAGCCACAAAAAATGAACAGTTTGTCACTACTGAATTAGTAGTGCTCAGTGGCTGCAAAAATAGGGCCATAGATTATATGCCCCAACTTTTCCTTAAAAGACTTTTTAGCCCGATTTGATAATATTCAGGGATTAAAAGATGGAACAAGCACCGAGTTATTTCCCTATCCACTAGACCTGGAAGAAATATATGTAGAATCCAATTTGGTTACGGACAAAACCATACATGGAACTATTTATGTATTTATTGCCACATCCTACCTATATTACTCTCGAACAGGATACCCCTGTGTTTCCTAACAGGCAGCTTCATAATTAAATAAATGGCAAAGCGAGGAGAATCAACCAGCTTTTATAATATTTGCAGTTCTGACAGAAAGCTACACCTGTGGATTATTTTTCTCTGCCGTACAATTTTAAAACAAATCAAGAACACAGAGGAGCAAAGAAGCCCACATAGCTGTGAATAAGTGTGATGGAACGTGAGGGTGACCTTGGAAGATGGGGGGAAGAGATGCCAGCTAGACGATCAGATAGAAGAGAAAGGAGTCTGCAACAGACTAATGGCCAGAGAAAGAAACTTAGGAAGGACCCGCCTTAACTACCCAGGTGATATATAGGGAGGGCGGGAGATTTGTACTTTCAGACTTGCAAGATTCTGTTAATGTAACCTTACAATAAAGTAGAATTAGTTCATGTAGTCATGTTTCCTGTCTGGTTTACCTGGGAGGGCTGACAATAAGCCCCAATTACTCTACCATGCAAATGAAGATTAAGGGAACATCTATATGTTACAGTACATTAATCTTTAAACAATTGAACAATATAACAACCAGAGTAGCTGGAAAATCAGTGTTAGGGATGTAGAAATTAATTTCATCATTGATTCTGTTGGAAGCAGATTTGAGCATTCTGCTTTCAGCAGACTCTACACCAGCACAAATGTCAGCAGCAACCAACGTCTAGATAGCATTTGTCCCTTCCCCATTCAAACATGTCCACAAATATGCACAGGCACCCACCCCTGAAAAGAAAATACACTCTAAAGAACAGTACAGTAATTATGTTACTTACACTGGGAAAAGAAGCTGCATCAGGGAATAGTACATTATCAGAGCACTGTGATGTGAATTAGAGAAAATATTTTCTGGCAATCTATATTAACATTTACATAAAATAGGAGAAGATTAATAGAAAGGCTCAATATGGTATGTCAGGAACCAATACATATGAAAATAGAAATTTTTCAGTTTTTTTTTAAACCTCTAATAAGCTTGCCAGACCAGAATATTGCTCTACTAATGCAGACAATAAAATGGACCACATGTTTATTTTTCTGCACATCTCTAGTTATCACAGGTTGCTAGTCACAATGTGCAGAAAATCTGACCCAGAGACCTTTCCCCATTGGATTGAGATCTCCCTTTCCCCATTGGAAAGTCTTTCTGATTAAGATGGCAGTACAGAAATTTGTACAGCAGAGGCTAGGACCTAAATTTGAAATTTATACCCATATTCCAGGTCCCAATGAAGATGGTGATCATGTCAGGCTCTGGTTGTTCAGAGTGCTTGTTCTTCATTTGCTGTAGAAGCTGGCAGAAGCCTTCTCTTTTCTGAAAATGGAGGAGTAAGACAAGAAAAGAGAAAAGAAATAGGATAACTAACTCAATGCTATTGATCAAAGAGCCACTTCATTTGTTGTATGTAAGTGCTTTCACACTGACATATGTTAAGAGGGTAGAAAGTTTCAATGTAAGTAGCACTCATAGTGGCCTCTTTGATTTGGTAACATTTCCATTGATAATTAAGGCAATTTTTAATTATTTAGAAGTTGGAGAAAATGCTAAACATAGGAATGTTTAGATCAGTTCAAATCCTTCCTTTGTACATAGTTTTACTTCTGTCATGGTATGATAGCTGTTCAAAGAGTTTTCAGTGAACTGCTGTAGTAGAACTAAAGTTGGACTTCGTCGTCTTTAATCTGTTAGAATTTGAGGTCAAATTAGTCAGTTTCTTGCATTCATGAACAGAACAGGTATTGATATGGTATTATTCTTTTATGAAATGTTTATGGAATGTTCTCCAAATATACTTGGAACTTCTTTCATGGATAACAAAATAAGAAAAATCTAAAAATCCTGTATTCTGAATGGGCATAAACACAGAAAAAGAGAGAGAAAGAGTATATTGTGAGCTATTACTTTTTTAAAACAATAGTTGGAGTACGGTCCAATCAGAAGCCTATGATGGGACAGCCAGTCATACTGGAATGCAGTAAGGTCAGTTACCACAAACTCTGTTCGGCTGACAAGCACCCATAGATCTCCATACCCAAGGAATGGAATAGCTCCTTCCCTAAGACAATTTGGAGATGTCACAGACAGCTGATCTTGATGGATAAAATGTCTGCAATGGGGAGCTTTTGAGACATGCAAATGCTTCCACATGAGCTGATGCTCTGATAGAACAGAGTCCCAGCACAAATGCAGAAGCCTTACTGTATATGCAAAGGCACTTGTTGCAGATAAGACTGTCAATTCACTGACATCACAGTGTGACTGCAAAGAGGGGAGGGCTGCTCTTACCATGTCTTGGGCTATACAAGAAAATATAGTGTCTGATTAAGGCTTGTGACAAGAGGAATCTGCCCTTCTAGTTCTGAAGAAAATAGTTGGTGGGGGCATCCAGAGGAAGGAAAGGAAGTGGCCTTCTCAGTTCCAGGATTCATGGAATGACCTCCATAGGGAGGCAGGCCTTGAACCCAATGCAATGTCTTCAGTGCTGGCAAAGATATTCTTCTTTTTCCCAGGCATTTACTTTGTATTGTTTTAAGCATTCATGTTATACCATAAAAACAGCATTTATTGATTGATTCAATTTATTTCCTACCTTTCTTTCAAGAGCAAAAAGCAACATAATCATTTTTTTCTCTGTTGCCTCTTAATATATTTATTTGATTTTCTTAACTGGTTTTAATATCTTAAATAATTTCATAATCCACCCAGAGGACTATAACTATGACAAGATAGTTGTTAGTGTAATTAAGTATTTATAGCCACAGTTGATGTCATTATAACTCTTAACTTGGATATGTGGGAATCCAGGTTATGTCTTATGCCTATGGAGAAAGATAGTTATCTTTTTCAGAGAAGATTTATAATCTCCTTAAAAACTAGATTAATTCAGTGTTTAAGATGAGTTAGAATTAATTCGAGTGTCCAACTTCATTCCTTAAGAATGAAGCAGAAATGACTAGTGGCTAGACTGAATTTGCTGTGGTGGAACTTTTAATTATTATCCTGAATCCTAAACATAATTCACCCAAACAATTTGTAGGAGGGAAACACCTTGGATTGTTCAACATGGAAGAACTAAATCTTGATTCTTTGCCAGTAGAAAATAAGACTGATAGGGAACTCCAAACAAGGAACTGAAATTTCAAATGAATTCAAGTCAATAGTTTGAAGTAGCCTGATCATGTGACCTTCCCTGTATACATTTAACATAAGGCTGATTTGGGGTGGGCAGGAAGCCAGGCCTCAGATATGAAATAATAGACATCTGGGCATCAAGCAGAGACATGGAAAGGTTGGGCTTGTCACAATCAGCCACAATCAAAAAGTGAAATTACTGTGCTTTCTTGCTTTCTTGCTTTCAATATGCTTATTTCACTTTTCTACTTAATAACATCTTGATGGCTTATATGGTACTTACCCACATAATTCTGGAATTATGTTTTCTTAATTCATTTTTTTTTAACTGAGCACCCACTTCATTTCAGTGTTTTCTGAATAAACCTCCCGTAGTCCTTCAGATCTAATTTGTGGACTTTTTGTGTACTTATGTGTACATACCCAGTAAAATGCAATTGCAATGGTGTCCTATCCAATGTGCACAGATGTATCACAGTTAAGCTGTCTGGACCTCCTGAACTATTAAATTGAACATTCCTCTCTTCTAATTCACAATTCATTTTCTTTGTTTCTGATGATCCAAGCTGAACAGCTAGAGATGACTCTTTATTTATTTATTTGATTTGATTTGATTTGATTTCTATAGCTACCCAGATCATATATTTGACTCTAGGTAGTTTACAATAAAATAAATAGAATGCACAATATAAAAATAAAAATACAAGGATCCTCAAATACATCCCTTGAAAAGCTCTGTAAATTGTCGCAGTACCAATTTCTCTAACAGAAACAAGGGGAAGGTTTTGCATATATATGTATCGTTTTGCATTTGTAATGAATGAAATTAATGCCATAAAATAAATAGTAATGTGTCTGCTATGCTAAAGCACTCAGAAGTGAGCATTTTACCTTAGAGTCAGCAAAGACATACTCTTTTCTTTGTGCTTTCTCTTTTTCCGTCTCCAGAATAATCACCAGCTTGTTAGGAAACTTCTGAGACTTAATGAGCTGTAGGACTAAATAGAAGCAAAAACTAAGTCAATCTTACTTGTTTTAGGCCACAGAAGTTTTGAAACTGAAATTGCCCACGCTAATAAATTGTCCTCCCTCTCAGAACTTGAGTTGCACAATCCAATCTTACTGGTCTATGGGCATTTTTTAAAAAATTGGCAGTGATTCAAGACTAAGCCTCAGGTGCAAAACTATTATGGTTTTGAAGCCTCATCATGCTAGAATAATTTCTGCCCATTAAACTGTGGGATTGCCTAATTAGGAGAACTCTTGAGTGAATTCTATGTCTCACATCAATTCACCATTTCACACAGTGTTATGAGATCATCACAGAGGTCAGGACTGGTGATTAGGAAAGCTACTGATGTGCATGTTCCACAATCAGCAGAAACTAGATTCAAATCTAAACTCTCATCAAGGGAGCAACTCATGTTAGAAAAGGAATCTAGCAAAAGTGCCACTTGACAGCTTCACTATTTCTTAACAGCTGCTATGTATGTCTATCAATAAAACAGCTGAACATAAATAAGAATTTGGATCTTCTAAATATTTGGTTGTGGAGCACTCTAAATTATATGTCCATGTCATAAATTGATTGCTCCATATCAGTTTCTATAAAGTTCTTTCTAGTACATAAATCTTCATAGTTCAAGATACACTTGTTTAGAGAATCCATGTCATTCTCATGCTTCATCTGAACCTTTAAATAAAATGGAGAAGTAGGAACTAGGAACTAACTGCAGCCTCTCTGTTGTACCACATCATTTCTTTTCACCAAGGTTTAAAATATATTCTACCTCCTTCCTATGCTTTTGTGATGAAACAGCAACCAGAAGTAGGAAGCACCCTAAAGTTTCTCTTTAAAGCTAGCTCTTAGATAATGCCAGAGTATGTTTATTTCTATATCACCTACAGTTTTAGTCTGTTTATCCCGCAAAAATTACTATCACCAGTCAGAATCGCCAGTCTTCTCTCTCTGAAGACACAAACTGTAACAACCATTTATAATGAAAGTAGACTTCTTTCTGAACTGCTAAGGCACTTCACATATGAAATTTCACTTTCAAGTCTGTACGCCTTTGTCCATTGCTCAGTGAAAACACTATCTGCATGTATTCACTACAAATGTATTAGGAAGCTGCAGTGTAACCTTTGCAGTCATATATTTGCATATTCAAAATATCATGTCTGAAGCCAACCTGAAAAATGTAATTCCTCACACTGTTTTTCCCAGGTCTATAAATCTTCAGCAAAAGTGCTGAGTGAATGCAAATAGGATGCAACTTACTTTTTTTGTGGGTATAGAACTTATCTTCAGGACCATCCTTCGCTTTCTTAATAATAAGTTTTCCCATCTCAACATCAACTTTAAGATGAATTTTGGAAGAAATCCCAAGACAATCTGGCTTCACCTATGAGAACAGAAGAAATGTTATTTATCCATAATACTTCTCATATTACATGACTAACTTGCAGAGACATAACACTATCATAATAAACATTTTTTCAGTAAGAAAGTGTTGCCTTGGTACTGTATCACACCCAGTATGAACATGGATTATTATTTTTTTTAATAGGTGAGAGCATTGTACCAAGAATTATAAACATGGTGATAATATAACACTTAGAGTGTATAAGTATAATACTTAGAGTACTGCAAAGCTTCAAATTCACCTCAAAGGTAACAGGAGGGATAAGTGAACGTCGATGTGTTGAATCTGGTCCCTCAATCAATACTTTTTTCACCTGTAAAAATATAAGAATGACTATTTGGCAATCTATTTGGCAATCTCAAACTTTAATTGAAAGAGAATTTAGGAGATTTAGGAACACTTTATTGTAACCTGTACAATAGATGACACTGATGATAAATAAGCTCTCTGATTTAGCCATGACAATTGCCAAAGAAATTAAAAAAAAAAAAGCATTCTAACTTCTTCCAGCTCCAGGCTGTAATTGTATGAAGGTCAGTTCTCATACAATAAAGCAATGAATGCGTATCTACAGTTTCCTGTCCCCTGCATTTCTAAGAACCATAAATGCATATGTCACGTGGCCAGGTTATTTTCTGGGTTCACAAAGAGTTCACACAACAGAAAGAACTCCTAAATAAGTAACTAGTTTTGAAAATGCAAATTTGGTAATTTGCCACATGAGTTGTTAGAAAGGAAGATTCCTAATTAGTATAAGAAACAAATGGGATACTTTTTAAATAAAGAGTATTTTTTTAAAAAAATAAAATAATCAAAAGTATTTAAATAAGAAAATACAGTACATCTGAAGCCAGATAGGTATCTAAAAGTCACTATACCTTATCCTCTATGGAAGAAAGCAAACTTGCCAACTGAGCCAATTTTGCACGGTTGACTTCAAAAGATGGCTGGTAAGAATAGCATAGAAAAAGAAAAGTATAAGAACCAACAGAATGCCATTTTTCCCAATGAGAGTCTAGTATTTTATCATCTGCACATATATTTCAGAAAGGTCTGTAACCTTATATTATCCCAGTGAGTTATCAATAACCTGAAACAGTACAGACCAGAATGGAACTGAATTTGCAGAAAGGTTAAATGGAAAAGAATCCATTTCAAATCCAGTGCTTTAGTGAGAAGAAGTTGCAAATGATGGAAAGTGATCTTGTAATTATGGGTCTAGAGCTAAGCCGTGCAGAGAAAATAGTAACATTATACAGTCACAAGTAGGATTTTCCAGGGCTCCAGGCAAAGGAACTTTAGATGCTTAATTTATTAGGGTGGGTGGAAGGAAAGTTTTTCCAGCAGAACACAGGAAGAGGTGAACATATGAAGTAACAAAGCTGTTGTATACCAGGACAGACTACTTGGACAGACTAACCATCCTAGTATTGCCTGTATCAGCTTTCGTCAAACCGTTGTCCTCCAGATGGGATCCGATTGTAACTCCCAGAATGTCTAGCTTCCACTAAGCTGCAGACCTTCATCTCAAGCAGCAATGAAAAATCATACTTTCCAAAATGAAATAATAAATCCGAGGTGCTGGGTTAGTGACCAGAAATTTATTGAGGGAGAGGAGGGAGAGGAGAATGCAAATAGTTGTAGTGCAGATCATTCACTTATATGTTAAAAGCATTTACATTCTTCCATCATGCTAAGCATTTCCAGGCAGTGTGATTGATCTATGTGTCTAGAATTTCATACTTTAATATCAGCATTTTAAAATTGGCTCAGTAGAAAACTGGCACCTAGTCCAGGTCTTTCAAGAATAGTGTTAGAGGAGAGTGGCTAGGTGCACATTCCACACCATCCATAAGGGCAGCCACACATAATAATGAAGATATGAGGTTACCAAGGCATGAGTCATTGTGATTAAGTTATCCAGGAAGCATTCTAGCTGGCATTGCAATCAAATGTAGAAAAGAGGCTTAGTGACATTAAAGGTATTGTAAACTTCTCCAGACTACTTATCTGCTCCTGAAAAATGAATGCAACTCCTACCTATTTCCTGAATACTGCTAGGTAGCTCACATTAAACATAATGCAATTAAGAAACAAATTGAAAAGAAGATTTCAACTAAGAAGTATGTTCCTCTAACCATTGTCATACACTATGCAACCCACCCCCTACTTTTTTAGTTTGATACTGATTCTGAGACATATCTTGCCAATTCCAGAAGATCATACCTGAGAAGGTCGATGAGTACCTGGGGAAAGCTGCTGGTCAAACACCATCTGTATAGATTCCAGAGAAGGAAGAGTCCGAGACAACTCACTGAAATGCAAAAGCCAAATATATAAAGACTTTATTTTTATAACAACTTGGCTATGCAGTACTACAATAGCATTCTCCAATGCTGTCCTCTCCAAATGCATTGGAATGACAACTCCCAGAATTTTCCAGCCAACCAGCAAATAGCTGTGGAAGAGCATAAAGATTCTCTACCAATTTTCAAATAGCTTCAAACATCTACTTTCTAACAACATCTTCTATATTTCTTTCTGGTTCAGCTGCAATGTAGCTGAAAGTAAGCAACATCAGCTTAGCTAAGTGAAGGTTTGGTTTGGTTTGTAGACCCAGTGCTCTGCTTCTCCATTGGACAGAACTCCTGCCTCACCCTTTCTCTTGATTCTTGAGCTTTAGGTCATGGATAGGAATGCTGGTTTAAAGGTTTGGAACCCCCATCTTAAGAGCCCAGGCAAAAGAAGTAGTGGTGAAACTGTTAAAAGGTTTTGTCAGCCTCCCCCTTTTCTTCAGTTTCCCACCTGCAAATTGCCAGGCTATTGGGTTTTTTTTCTTTTTTTCTTTTCTTCTTCTGTGGAGTTGGGATGGTGGGATTTTGGCTGCAACGGGGCTTGCAGCAACTCACAGTGGGGCAATGATTTTTCCTCATTGTTTTCAGTATTTCAAATCATGGATTGACTTTGCTGCTTCTGAGGACTTGGAGAGCAAAAATAGTAGTGTCTGGAAGTGCCTTAAGAACACATCTGGAAAGCAGACAAGCTGTTGCTAAACAGTCTAAAGGCATCAGCTTAAAACTGCATTAGATTATTTTCTACATTAGTTGCACAGATTGATCTTAGGAAACACAAATGTTAAGTGAGCAAGGTTTTTCTGTGTGGAATGTCTTATGGGGATTGGAGTTACGGAACTGATAGCATGAGGGAATGTAGGATGATCTTAATTTTCACCAAAGACTATGAATTTTTAAGTCAATCAGTTGCTTAGAGCAAATAGAGATTCCCAGTCTAAAGAAAGTCAATACTGTCTCAATGACTTCTAACTAACTAGTCAAGAATTTATGTAGATAGTTATATACAGAATTCCCAAATTGTCCATATTGAAATATGCCTACAAATGAACTTGTGTTTACTTGAAGAGTCCTTTGCAGAGTCCTGCAAGTAGTTTCTTCAGCTGAGGGAGATTCCATGAGCCCAGTTGTACGGTTTCAAGATCATTGGTTATATGAACTCGCAAATAATCCTGGATAAGTTTGAGGTGCTCTTCTGGAATACTATGGAAGAAAGAAACAGCTTGAAAGACCAAATCAGACATTAAGCTTATGAACCTAAGCTATGGCAAATGGAACAAAAAGTCCTGGTTAGTGGGAATTACAACAGTTTTGTATAGCTCCTACTCAGTTCCTTGCTAATAAAGAATAAAGGTGAGGAAGAGACAAAGGAAACAATTGTGTCAGAAGGAATTCCCTGCTGACAAGGATGGACAATATGTGGCCCTCCAGATGTTGTAGATTACCAATTGCTACCTTGTCAGTAATGTGGGATGATGGGAGATTTAGTCCCATAATCTCTAGAAGGTCTGGATCAGATGCTGTCTACCAATAATTTAAAATTTAATTTGCAAAGGAGTGAGATGCTCAGGACAAAATACCAGCTATCCTTATCACTTTTGTATGAATGTATAGCATCTATCCTTTGCTTTCAAAATGCTTCACGGTAATACTGTTAAAGAAGATTAGTACAATTATTCCATCATTGGAGATGGTCTAATTGGAACTTGCCTAAATGTTTTTTAAAAGTTTACAGAAGAAACAAAAATAAAAGGACTTCCTGATTTGAACACAGTTGTGCATCATCTGAGTGTGTTATTCTGAACACAGTTGGAAGGGGAGGGGGAAGAGTCATTGAGGTTTACTCCCAAGTAAGGTCATATCAGATTGCAGCCCAAGCCATACATTCTCTTTCATCAATTTCTTGTTTGCTGATGTATCTTGCATGAATAGCTTGTTCTACCAAAGGAGGAAGGGTTCCTTCCTGTCTGCCACCCACACAAAACCAAACCTCCTAACCTTTTCCTGAGAGACCATCCAGCCAGCACATTTGTTGCTATCTATAAGATAATTTTGCACCCCACCCTCTTACCAAATGGGATCAGCCTTTTGATTTATCTGCCTCTAATATGGTCACTAAAATTGCTGGATTCTTATACATTTTAGAGATGAACAGAAAAGAGATCATTGCCAGTTACCATTTCTGCCATCACTGCAGCAGTACAAGCAGAAACATTTTACCTAGTAAAAATTGGTCCTCTACTTTTATAGAATCCCTCTGAAGAACATAAAGGCATAAGAACAGCCTGGCTGCGTCAGCCAAGACTCATCTTTTTTTCTCACAATGCACAACCAGATGTCTCTGGGGTACTTCTAAGCAAGACGTGGAGACATACTCTTGCCACACTATTATTTCCCTGTGTAGAGAATATAGTGGTTCTGTCTTGATGGACAGAAGGAAGATCCGTTACTGAGGCAACAACCAGATAAACATGGCTTGAGCCCAGTCCAAGAAAGAGATTTATGAAAATGTCTCAGAAACCCTAACCCTAACCCCCCTCACCCATTTACAAGAAAATAAAAGAGCCAAGAGAGAAAGCATATTCAGCTTGCAAGGCTCTGTTACTACAGCTGTTCTAATAAAAGTAGTCTTAGGCCCACATGGTGTCTGTTTCATAGTTTGGTCTACTTATAGGGCTGACATCCTGCATTTTGGAATTATGCTGCCCCCAACATTCACTCATCAAGACCAAAATACCTTAATAGACCTGTCTCCCATGAATTTATCCAATTTTAAAACCATCCCTTTTAAAATGAATTTCACATGTTAATTATGCACTGTGTGAAGAACTGTTTCCTTCTGTCTGCCTAAAATCTCTTTCCAAACAACTCTGCTTGATGGCCCTAATCCTAGGGCATTTTTCCTGTCCATTTTCTCAGTGCAATGCATGACTTTATACACATCAGTCATATCTCCTTTCAGCTGTCTTTTTTTTTTTTTTTTGAGCTAAAGAGTCCCAAGATTCTGGCCTTTTTCATATGGAAAATGTTCTGCACTTTCCCCCCCAGCTCTATTACATCTATTATATATTTTTAAGTGCGGCAATCAGATTTGGACACAGTACTCTAGATGAAGATGTACCATAGATTGTATAAGGGGAGTATGATGTTGGCATTTTTAGTTTAAATCCCTTTCTTTATTACCATAGCATGACATTTGCCTTTTTCCACAGCTGTCACAGAATGAGTTGACATCTTCACTAGCTATACACTCATTATAGCCCAAAGATCTGTATTCTGGTAGTTACAGACAGCTCAGACTCCATCAATGTTTATGTAAAGTTAGAGGTTTTGCCTCAAAGTGCATTACTTTTCACTTATAATTTTGACTTCCAATTGCCATTTCATTCATTTTAAAATGATGCTTCTGAAGTTGTTTACAGTCACTTTTGGCATTTATCACTCTGCATACTGTAGTATCATCTGTAAACTTGGTCAACTCACTGCTTGACTATAAGTCAAGATAATTTATGAACAATTTCAAAGCTTGTCTTTTAGGCAGTTGCTTATTTTTCTCCACAAAGAAAATTGTCCACTTATTCCTACTCTTTGCTTTCTGTTTTCTAACCAGCTAGCAATAAATAAAGGATAGCTTGTCTTACCCTATGGCTGATAAGTTTATACACAAAAGCTTCTGACAAAGACTTTAACCAAAGGCTTTTTGAAAATCCAAATATTCATTGTTGATAGGGCTACTTCCATCCAAGCTGACAATCCACAAAAACTAACTTCCTGTTGGTGAAGTAGGATTTACCTTTGTGGAATTGATGTTGATGTTCTTCAGCAAGACTTGTTCCTCCCTGTGCCTAGTTATTCATTCTTTGATTACTATTTCTACTAATTTGTCAGAAACATATGTTAAGCTCACTGGTCTGTAATTTCCCAGATCTCCCTTTTTAAAAACTGGTATCACATGGGCTAACTTCTGGTCTTCCACCATTGAGCCTGATTTGAGTGATGTTACATCTTTAAGAATTCTTGGCTAGATGCCATCAGTGATTTATTAGAAAAATGTCCTAGAACATTTTTGGAAAGTGGTTTTCAAACTTTTTTAGGCCATGGAACCTCTTTGTTAAAAAAGTCAAAAATCCTGGAACACCTGTTCAAGAGAGATGGGGCTTCTGAATGTCAGCTGACAAGCACTGCTATTTCTGCTATATCTTAGTGACTAAGGAGAGAAAAAAAGAAGCTCTCTGCAAGGGACTAAGGAGGGAAAAGGAAAATTCTCTCCAAGAGTCTAAGTCTTTTTTTCCCCTTGGTCCTGCAGAACCCATTCAAGACCTTGAGTTCATGGAACCCTTTTGGAAAAACCCATTCCTAGAATATCTTGTTATCTTCCTGCATGAGAAAATAAGTACAGTAAAATATTAACAGATCAATTATTATTCCTGAATGTCCATTACAGTGTAAATTATATCATTTGTGTCAATTTACATAATTTGCAGATTACACAAATGTGGTAATTTGTGTAATGATGTTATTATATAAATGATGTAAATCACCACAAAAGACATAAAATTAATGGAAATTTAACTCCCTCATCTGGATACTTTGGATGCAATAAATAACTCATGCATTATTTGGGGAAGATATCTGGACAGAAATTTGGTCCATTGCATCTGCAGTCTCCTAAAAGAGGTTTATTAAATTAAGGTTTTACTGTATATACTCAAATTCTTCTGTAAAATGAAAGATGCGAAGAATTCATTCAATTTCTCTGCAAATTCATCATCTTCCCTGAGGAAACCTTTAACACCTTTGTCATCTAAAGACCCAACTTTTAGAAATGTTTATTATTCTTTTTTATTTTTGTTTGCTATACCAGCAAGTTTTTGTTTTTTTGCATTCCATGTTATCACTGTACATTTTTTTTTTTTGGCCAAAGTTTTTGTTGTCCTCATTAGGACCGGCTTTCCATTTCCTGAAGGAAGGCTTTCTTAGCTTTTATAATTTCCTGGACACCTTTAGAAAGAAATGCTGGCCTTTTCCTAGATTTGGCTGGAAACTTTATTCAAGATAACTATGAGAGGAAATGAAGTAAATTCCAGATTTACTTCCAAATTCCGAATTCAAATTCTGAATGCTCGTTCTTCTTGAGAGAAATGGTGTTAGATCTTACTTGCTGGTATCTTGGTGCTGTAATCGCTGGAGCAAGATTTCAGAAAGAGGTGGTGTGCTGACTTCTGTCATCTGGGTATAATCATTGGGTGAAAGATCTTCCTTTGTTTCATTTACTGGAACTGAAATGCTGCGTGGAGGTAATATGGGTGGGACAGGCAAAGGATCTGTCACCAAAACAAGAAATGTACACCCTGTGAATCAGGAACTCCCAATCCCACTTTAATGGTTTAAAACATACTACTTTTCAATAGGATACTACTCTTAACAGAGAATACTTCTCTGTATGATAACATCTATGTAAATTGATATGGTGCAATGACAGCTGGATTAAGATTTTGGTGACTTAAGTTTAAATCGCCACGTAGACATGAACTAATTGAATGACTATGGTACAATCACTATGTTTCAACCTAATCTACTTGGGGGGGAAATATCATGCCTTACCAGATAATGGAAGAAGTTATAACCTTGATTGGACAATACCTTCTCTTGCAAACTAAGTATCATTAAATTCACAGCCAACAATATTGTGACTTTTACAAGTCTTGGACTATAGGAGACAAATCTGAAAGTATGTATAAAACTATAGTTAGTATTTCTCCTTCTATATGGCTGTAAAATAGTGAATGTACTACATGGCATATTAAAAAGTTAAACCATTTCAAACTCGGAAATCTGTGAATTATAAAAACAATTAAATGAGGAACTATAATGTTTATTAATGACAGTGTTGTTAAGCCAAATAGCTAAGCACAGAAGGCCACATTAAACAAAGCATATATGAATTTTTAATCTTAAAGCAATGTTGTATTGCCATTGAAATGATTCTCATCAATCAATCAATCAATCAATCAATCAATTTTATGTTTTTGATAATTAGACAGGATAGATTATAGAAAGAAGAGAGTAGAAGAGTTATGTTGTAACCACAGAATAAGAGGTAAATTTATAATTGTACTTATAACTGCTGTAAAGAAGATAGAAAGCTACTTATTTGTATCTTTTTTCTTTCTTTTCTATTTTTCTTTTTTCCCCCTCTCCTTGCACTTTTAGCTTTCTCTCTGATTTCTTTCTTTCTCTTTTCCTTTTCTTACTTTATATTAGTTTGAATTAGTTTTAATCTTCCTTTTAAAAAATCTTTAATAAA